ATGTTTTAAAACGCTGCGACAATCGTAGCCGAAATCGATAGAAAATGGCGTATTTTGTGACAAATTTCTATTGAGTAGGGGACGAAGAAGAAGTTTTCTTTCGTCAAAATGGCGGACGAAGTTGTTGTTGACTGATTCATATGAAATCGTTTCTCGAAAAGTACTGAACGGATTAAAGCGAAAAACATCTCGTTGGAAAGTTTTTTCAAAGCGCAGGACAGCTAAAATATTTGTTTACCGTTTGTTGGAACTTTCGTTCCGCGAATTCCTATGCAAACTTTTGCATATTTAATTTTGTAAGTGAAAATGTCGTGCGCATGTAAATAGTCCTAAATCATGTCGAAGGCCTGTCGTAAGCATGCGTCAAAGTCGTACCGTGTAAATCGGCCTTAAGGAGTACCGAAAAAAGGAGATATTCAACAACAGTAATAAAATGAGTCAAAGACTGTTACATAACTATGGTTCAGCTAGCTTCGCGTGTGTCACATGTGCGCACGCTAAAATAAAAAACTGTTAGGGACAGATGCAGCACAGATGAATCAATATTGCTAACGAACATGAAAAGAACTTGAATTCCTACTCACTGTCGAGATTTCAATGACACTACCAACAATCAGTCCTTATTGTTGTTACAACAGTGTTTACATAATGGCTCCCTACTGGGTCAAACCGTTTTTTCCTTCTTTAAACCTGTTATCAGTGATCAATCTCTACCACACATATGATAGCCGATATTATGCATGAATTACAGTTCAAAAGCGCTGCCATTGGAAAATCGACACGTATGCATTTCATGCCGGAGAGGAGGCTAGAACTTACTGAGCAGTCTTCTATACTAAAGGTGTGCGTACAAGTTAAGGTAATGAATCAGTAATGAATAAACTTGTCGTTTACGTCCAACTGTCCTAATCATCTATCAAGCTCAAAGATGGCAGTAAAATTATTTGTTAAGGACATTGGGGACTGGATGCTGCGCAACAAACTTAAGTTAAATCGGGATAAGTCTGAACTTTTGGTTATTAGTTCTAAATATCGTCCACGACCACCCCTCGACTATATACGAGTTGGTGATGA